ACACGGGCTATGTACAATCTCTCCCGGACGCTCAGGCTAGTTCGTACTCCGGCTTTAGCTCACCAAATGGCGATCCTCAGGCTGGCGAGAAGTCTGACACAGGAAAGGAGAACAGGTAAGCAGCGGCACGAGTGAAACTCAGAGAACGCTTGATTTGTAATGACACTAATGAGTGTTACACAATAATCCAGCGAACGAGGCGCCTCCAGCCACCTCCTTAAGTACCGAGCCAGAGTGAGCGCTGATCACAGGAGATTGTTTGCAGGTGCGGGAGCCAGGGGCGGGAGCTCACAGAGAACTCCGCCCCGGTGGTGCGCAGAGCGCGAGAGGGAAGAGAGAAGGGACAAAAGAGGCAAAAACACTTGTAGCCAGACCGGGCTAGCCGGGGAGGCACAGGGCCATGACAAATGCTCCCAAAAATGGCAGTACAGCATGTAAAAATATAAAGTAAGCTCTGGCGGACTTGGTTCTGTGGTAGGTCTTAAAGGGTTAACATAAAACTGTTTTTGGAACCATACTGAATTTCACCAGAGAAACACACACACACACACACACACACACACACACACATATGAAGAGAGAGAGTATGTGTAACAGAGTCATAAATCACATTGTTATAATTACACAAAATGTGTTCTAAACCCCCAAACTGCTCCTTTTATACCTGACTTTTAGGACCTCCAAGCCTGTAGTTGTGTTCATTATCAGTTAGAGCCCCTCCTCATTCTTTTCTTCTTCTTCTTTGGTGCAATACTATAAATACAGTGTACCCCCTTTGCCTCTCCCCTTTTCCTACAATTCCCCTGTGGGAGAGGTGGGTGTCATTTCTTTCTAACACCCTGAAACACACATAATTCATATTTAGCCACCCTGATGTTTATGATTGCGATGTTAGTTCAGTTATTGTCATTATTAAGCCTGTTTTTGTAAGATGTTATAAGTGTGTAGTATGTGTGTATCATAAATGTGTTTTAGGCGCCATAAATGCTAGTATGAATATATACTCCTTGCTAGCTTGGGAGCTGTGGTGGGTTGAGCTAACCCTCTTCCCCACTGTTTGTATTTGGTCTAGGAGCTGGAGTGGGCAAATTATTTACTTGGAGGTCTTTCTTTCTTTTACCTTTTTTATCAGGTATGTCGGATTTCATGTTGTTGTTTTTGTTTTATCTTATGTCAAATATGTTACGTGTAAATGCATATTTTATGTTTAATGTAAAAATAAATGCCAGCCCTTTTCCTACAATTCCCCTGTGGGAGAGGAGCTGGAGTGGGCAAATTATTTACTTGGAGGTCTTTCTTTCTTTTACCTTTTTTATCAGACACAACGCAGAATCACACCGGTTACATATGCATAGCATGCAAACGGCTACAAACTGCTGCAACCCACATAATTTCCTTAGGGATTAATAAAGTATTCTGATTCTGATTGTTTCAAGATGACCTGCCATTATCCAATGACACATCTGCTTACCTGTATCTTTTGCTCGTTTCTCCTCCTTTTCTCTTTTTTCGAAACTGAGCACCTGATGGCTTTGAACTTTCCTTGTCCATCTTCCATTGCTTTTAATTTTGCACTCCAGTATGAACACCCACCCCCCAACCCGAGGATAACCACAAAATATCCCGATAGACCTACACCTTAGTTCACAGATTCGCTTTGTCTAGGGTTTATTTCTGAGATTTCGCACAACCCAGGATTCAAATCATGAATCCATAATGAGCTTGGATTTACAACATTATGAATGAAATGTGCTCTATTTGGAAGCAGCCGGCCCCCTCCCCTTTCGACGGGTTGTGTGTGAGACTTTAAATCATCAAACTGTAAATTATAAATTTTAAATTGTTATTGATCCATTTACCTCTAGTCCTAAAGTGTATATTTATTTTCTTACTTATATTTATTGTTTGTTTACTTGCACTGCTGTAACTGGAGCCTCGCCGTCTCGTCTCTCTATATACTGGACTGTAAGTAGGAGAGATGACAATAAAGGTTACTTTGACTTCAGCAGCGAGCTGGCTCACCGAGGGCTCTCGCGCTCACTTTTTGTGTATAGAATTTCGAAAAAACATCGGTGCAAATTATAAGTCTGTATCATAATGTCTGGTGTTTTCGTGTTTCTTGATTTGTTTTAATTTTGTTTTATTTTGCGAGTTGGTTATTAGATGTTGCTCCAGCCAGCCAGAGAATCCCCAGCCACCCCGCCCTCTTCTCCCTGTGCAGCAAGCAGCAGGCGCACCCTTCAAATGGAGGGCGCCCTTACTCCCAGAAAACCGATCGGTGCCTACGACATTCCCAGTATGCGCTGGCATGCCGTCGGGGCAGCATGAGTACGAGCAATTTTTTATTTTTTTATTTTTTGGCGATACTCGTGATGCCGCCCCCCACCACGATGCCGCCCCGGGCAACCGCCCGTGTCGCCCGTATCAAAAACCCCTACTGCCTTTTGGCAGTCTTCGCCTGTCGGCCTCGCAGTCCGCTATTAAATGGCCAGATTTAAAACAGTAAAAACGTTTCCGGTCTGACCTGGGACGAGGCACAAGTACCTCTCCCCTTGTGTCTTGCTCAACAGTAGCACCGCTAGCCTTCGCTAGGGTGTCGCGTCGCTCAACGATACTTAACGATACTAGCGTTATGGACGAGTGCGAACTCGTCAGCCAGTGTCGCGGTCTGCTGCAACATGGAGACTTTTTGTTCATTCAGATATACTGCCATTCACTCAGAGATGCAGTTTTTAAATTCCTCAATCAGCATTAACTCCCTTGCTGAAACTAGGTCTGCAGCTTTACAGGCCATACACCATCGGTCAAAGAAGACACTCTTTTCCCTCTTTTCCAGGAAGGATTGACCCTGCACCTTTTTCAACCCTATTTTTGCCTACATCAAACTGTACCTCTGTCTGTGACAGCGAGGCCGCCACGGGAGGGAAGGAGGCTTGCTGGAGTTCCAGCTGTCGCAGCTTGACCTTCGTCTCCGCCTCCACTTCCACTTTCTTCAGCTCGACCTCCCTAGCCCTTACCAGCTCCGCCTCCAAACGCCTAAGCTCTAACTCCTTTTTCAGCTGGAACTCTCTCTCACACTCCTTCTTTTCCAGCTGGAGATGAGCCAGATGGACTCTGAGCCTAGCATCCTGCTTAGAACCCTCCGATGACTCGGTGGAGAGCGGATCAAAATGGGGCAGCGTCATTGGCCCGCCCTCGGGCAGCCCCTGGCCCACAGGTGAAGACACTGGCTGTTCTACGACCTGGCTTGGAACATGAGGCGCTACACTTGGTCCAGCCAGACCGGGTGTGCTCGGGGGTTCTTGCATCTCAACCACCCCCTTCTCCAACAGCCCAGACACCAGAGCGGCCTTCAGCTCCACTTTACGCAGACCAGTGGAGACACTGATACCGTAAAATGTTGCCACTTCATGCAGATCCAGCAGGGCAAGCGATGGCTTTGCAGTAAACCCAGCAATATCAAAAGTGGCCATGAAGCTAGCAGCAAACAAAACGCCCCGCAACACACAAGCTAACCACTCAAGGGACACCGACAGCAACCAATACACAACACCTTCACTGCACAACTAGAAACAGGCGAAATAAAATGTGTTGTGTCAAGTCAACCATTAACTAAAATTCTACCAACCCTCCTCCCAGTCCTACCTACTCAGAATCTAGCCTCACCTAGCTTCTGGTGGTATTAAGGTTCAAGCATTTTTATCATTGCTAAAAAGTTGTAAAACTTTGGGAACACCCTTAAAAACATTCCTGTTTTGGTGGTCGTCTCATTTTTTCCCCTCTAGTGCACATGTTGTTTATTTTATCAACAGTAGAGCAGCTAAAACTGATTAACAACCCCCTCTGCTACTTAACTAACTTGGTCAGTATCCCAGACGTTTAACTGACTTGATGCTATACTCTGATTAAAATCTGTTCCTTTAATTTTCTGAGTAGCATATTTACACACTATAAGGTAGGCAGAATATAAGAAAACACTTCTAAATGCAGTTCAGTACACCAGTACTACAGCCTTCTTAAAGTATGTAATTGAACGCTAAACAAATTAACCATGTTAAGAATTACTTTTCAGCCTAAAAAGGTACTCTGTATACAGTTTGAGTTTTGCTTGACTTTTTACAGTGGAAAGCTGATTTGCTGCATATAATATATCTGGTTTTAAATAGGTGTCTGAGTTCTCTAATCTCTGATTATATTAAAAAAAAACTTTTTTCCAACATGTTTTGGGTTAGAGCAAAAAGTAACTAATAGAAAGTCAGATCTAGTACAACTTTTATGTACGTGTTTGCAACTGCAGTTTACAGTATGGTATTCACATGTATGTATGTAAACTGATTCTTAAGGGTGTTTGGTTTTACTATTTACATTTATTTTTTCGTATTTACTGGTATTGAGTGGTATTTGGGAGTGTGTAAATGGAGGTTGTAAACAATTTGGAAAATGGTTTTATGTGAATATTATATTGTTTTCTGTTTACCCAGCAAACATGACCCCTTGGCCCCCATGTGGGAGCACTGCGGGCAGATCCACACAGCTCATAGTGGACAGCCCACTGTAGGCCTCGGCATCTGTTTGAAATGTAGGCCCCCATCATACATGTGGTTCTCATAACGACTTCAATAAGTGATGTCACGGTTGTTCTGTCCAACTTTTATAGTGCTCTGGTTTTAACTCGAGACTAATTAAACTACTCTGTATACACAAATTGATACAACTGAGTAAAATGAAGCGATGCCATTTTATATCAAAAGGGTCAAAGCTTTCCACTGCAGGCCTGCACAGCAGGGGCGGATCTAGAAGGGTGGCATGGGGTGGCAAGTGCCACCCTAAAATGATCCCTTGCCACCCCAAGTGCCACCCCAGTTTTGCATATGACAGTGTTGTTTATTAAAATAAGATAGCATTAACAGTTTGAGCGTAGTTACAGTCAACAGTGAATATAAATGCTAACACTGAAGATATTGGATAGTGTTCCCCCCCTGCACCATTAACAAATGGTTCAGCCCATAGCAGGGCTCGGCTTTTTTCTTGTTTTCAGTAGCAAGCATGCTTATGATTGTGCCAGAGCACATTTTGAACAACACCATGGGAATTTCGGATTTTACACAGGTGGTTGGATGTTACACTCTGGAAATGGAAGGAAGGTGAGTGTTGTTAACCCTCTGTGGTCCATGGACACGCTGCACCTCCAAATCACATGACTGATCTAAGCTGACATAAGCTGCAGCCACGCTGAGTCTCTATTTCAGCCCACATTGAAAGTTCGGACTTCAAAGTTTTTAAATTTTAATTACAGGCCAGTAAATCCAGAGTTGTGGTAATATATATAAGCCACGCTTTTTACTAAATACTGTTGTCACATTTTTGTGTGTGTGTGTGTTTTAAGCGTTTTCTAAGGAAAGCGCGAAAACAGTAAAGAAAGGAAAAAAAGCCACCTCTTTCCTATCGGTGGAAAAATGCACCATGTCGACCAATTTTTAAAAAAGTCAATATGTGGGATTTTGTTGTTTAGGAAGAGGGAAAAGTTTTGGGAGTCACTCCCAAAACTTTTCGGCAGCGAGACAGAGCGAGCGAGTGAGAGAGAGAGGGAAAGAGAGAGCGAGAGAGTTTTTAGATGTGGGAGATTTGTGACATTTAGTGTGGAGTGTATACTTAGTGTGTTGTGTTGTGTAGCTGTTCTGTTGTGTAGTCGTTTTGTGTGTCAGTGAGGGCACTAATGAATGTCACAAAGGCACATTTGCAACGTAAACACTGTCACTAAGTAGAAAACCAGCGGAGTGATACACCTGCTGTTGTCAGGCCTGCAGGTTTGTCCCTGTGCTGTTCTCTTCTGTCTTTTGGTGGGCAAACTTTTTTTTTTTTTACTGGCACACATCATTTGTGGGGCATCTTATTGCGAAACCTGATTGATCTCTCATTTTAGTTTTAGTAATATTTTTAAATGGTTGTACAAAATGAAAAAAAGGCAGGTGTATTGGCTGCATTTTTAGATAAATAGTTGTATATGTTTACAAAATGTACAATTTATATTTGCATTTCAAGTTATAAAAAATTACTCAACATGTCTGGGTTTTTTTTTACAGTAAAAAATACTACTAGGGTTTAAAGTTCTTTGTGTGATTTCAGATCAGTAATAGTACTATTAATAGTAATAGTAGTACTAATGCAGTATGTCAGTGAAAAAAAAACAACTAAATTCAGTTGAGGTGAAACTAATGATACCATACAAGGCAAGGGGAAAAAATAAAATGAAACAATTTGAGGGTGAACTACAAACGTAAACTCAAAATTAGTCAAAAATAGCCGGTTGTATTTCAGACCTCAGTGGGTTAATCCAACAAATCATGAAAAATTAGGTTAAAATTTTTGTTCATGACAGTGCAGATTTCTGACATTTTGTGTAATTTAAGCATGTAACAATTTGATTGTTTTATAACAAAAAACAGTGTAAAACTCAAGTTAGATGTGTGTTTGTAAATGAACCGCCCCATGTTGTGTAGCTTTCTGGATTTTATACTTATTGGGCTACATATTTATTTATTATACAGGCTATACAGTACATAACATCAAAACTCACATGTTTTATGTAACTAAAGTATGTAATTATGTGGGCTACAGACAATAATTAAGTTATAGACTATATTTATATGAAAAACATGTATACTTACTGCATTTGAATCATTTTAACCATATGTAACCACATGCATATGTGTTTGAAAAAAAAAAGCCTTGATTTTGCCACCCCATTTGATTTCTTTGCCACCCTAAGAAAATTTCTCTAGATCCGCCCCTGCTGCACAGGCATGTTTGCTGGGAATAGAAACCCCTTTTTAAATCAGCATGTTGTATGCATCCCATAGTATTTACGCTTTACCACACTTGTCGTGTCAGTTGTGTTATGAGCTAGTGTTTGTCTGTGGGAAGATGCGTACACTAGCCTATCAACTATAGTAAGCCGTGCTTCGTTTTAAACAATGCGGAGGACGTAAGCAGCATACAAACAACGATTTTCCCATACCCTTCCTAAGAAATGTGCTTGAATACAAGTACTTTTCGTGCGAATGCGGTAAAAACAATCTATTAACCAGAGCTAAATAACAGTAACATTTAATCGTTTTCCTTCAAGAAGGCGATGCAAACGGGCTGCAGCATCATCTAGCGAGCGACGGGACAACTGTCCTCAATGGGAAGTAGTGAGTTAACCTTACACACCTGAGAGCCAACGTGTAAATGGACGCTTTTTTTTCTTCTTCTTCTTTCTTTTAAGTTTCGTTTCTAAACGAAACTTGACTAGAACCGACGGGCGACACTGGCCACCAGCAGCCTTTATATAAAGCTGACGGATACAGTATCGCTATTTATTTGGAACATCTCTACCTTTCACTGCGATGACCGAGGTAATATGATTTTAATCTCTTAATGTCATCAGTAAAGTATTGCAGTTACCTACTCTGTGTAAGAGTAAACTGTAGTTGCCTATAAATTAGCTGCCTCAGGTGAGACAGCTAATTTATATTCAGTCCACGCAGTTATGACAATTCAAATCAAGGGAAAGGCACTGAAAAGGAAAACATTCACACAAGCACTTCTAAACACAAGTGCAAACTAATCTCCATTCACACGCCAATGAACGCATCGGAGGGCAACTTGGGGTTAGTATCTTGCCCAAGGATATTTAGCATGTAGACTGGGGAAGCTAAGGATCGAACCACCAACCTTCTAATCAGTAGCTGCTCTACCACCTGAGCCACAGCCACCCAAATAGGTGCTAATGGAAAAAGGATTAAATGAGGAGTAGATGTACTTGTGTATTAGTTTTGTTTTGTTTTATATTTTTACTAGTATTAGTAATAATATTTTAATGACATCAGTAAAGTATTGCAGTTACTTACTCTGTGTAATCCTAAAACTATATATGTCATCACCATATAGGTGACTCTTGAATGTGTGGCTTTCATGACACTGTGTGGATAAAAAAAACCTTTTTCCTTGTTCCTTGCCTTGTTCTTTAACATAATGAGTCATATATTTAATTGTTCTAGTCAGATGCTGGCTAATATTTAACCACGAATGGGTTGGTTTAGTAATGTGTAAATGGTGGTTGATATTTTATTGTTTTTGTGTGCTTCAGAAAGTTGGCTGTTAATCAGGGATAGTGCAGATATGTTTGCTTGAATCCATCCCATACAGTAGAAAAACTGGTTCCTAGGAAAGGAAATGAGGTGATTTTTTGAGCTATTTCCATATAAATACAAATATGCTTAAATGTGGACCTATTTTTTATTGTTTGTTAGCAGAAACCAGGTAATTTATGATACACTCAACACTCCCTTATCTGTACAGCTGATAGGATCCGTGTTTTCCCTTCAGGTTCAGTTAAGTTTCTTGGGCTTTGTGTTTTTCTTTGCATTTTATAGAAACAGTCATCTGTTTAAAGGGTTTTGCTTGTTTTATGCTAAATGACAGTTAATGTCAGCAACCGTTTTCAGTTTTAGTTTATTATGAGCAAATATAGTTTGTATAATGTGTCACAATACCCTGAATTTCTTACAGAAAACGACCCTGGAATGATGAGTGTAAAAGCAAAGAAGAAAGCTCGGTGAGCTGATTTGTTTTTACTTTAATGTTCTGTATACAGTACTTCCTACTGTATACAGAACAATAGAATATGCTGTTCTGGACTTCTGTAGGAAGTACAGTTCTTCTGTAGGAAGTACTGTAGAAAATACTGATTGATATTAAAATGATTTTGGCACTAATACCATTTTTGAGTTTGCTTGCTTCAAATTATGTATTAAATCCCTTACTGACAACTGACTAGTTTTCATTGTTTAAAAAAATAGGGCTTAATGCTTTTGCAACATTCCAAATGTTTTATCACCACTTAGTGTGAACTCGGTGTGGCTGCACTACCATGACTTTGACACAATTGTTTGGTGATGTAAAAGTGTCAGAAAAAAACTGATAAAAGGAAATTATAAGCACAGAGATTTAGGATTTGTTATGATAGTCTTTGAGTGCACATCTTTAGTTGTCTCATTGAATGAGTTCAATCATTTGTCACCAGATCCCTAAATTTTATACTAACTAATAGTATAAGATATAAAATTCATATTCATTCATATTCATAGTGCCATGTTCTTCCAATTTACATCAAGTAAGTGTCCCTTTTAAATTTAATAAAACTTACAGCTTCAAATAGTCAAATACACAATCTTGTCTAACATTAGCTCTTTCCTATTATCATTGTATCATAAGGATTCACTTTGTTTTGAGTTTTTTTTTTTTTGAGTTTCTTTCATTTCTTACTTAATGACTTAGTTTGTCACTTAATTTGTTACTGTTGCTGCTGCTTTGTTCAGGACTTCTTTCGGGGCTACAGCCCCGCCCTTCATTGACTACCTGAAAGATATTCTACGTCGATATCCAGATGGTGGACAAATTTTGAAGGTTGGTGTAATGCTCTGCCAAAAACTCATTATATAAATTACTTCATTAAGTACTTCATGGGGTTGCAAAAAGATTTCCAGTCCTTTAGAAATCTGTAGGAAACCAGCCCTTGGCCCTGACCTGCTGCTATTTTAATTCCCCACAGATGTTGGGCCGAGGAGGAGGAATAGCTACTATTTTTTAAAGTCATTTTAAATGTAAGCAGCTATCAACACTGTAATTCACCAGCTTTGAACTGGCTGCACACAACCAATGCACACAACACAACAACAGTGTTTATCAGCCTCCAAAATACAACAAGGACTTAGTGAATGACTTTGCTGACTTCTTGGCTGAATACATACATACAATATGATCGTGTTCTTATTGTTGGGGATTTTAATATTCATGTGTTTTGTCCTGATATGCCCATGGCAAAGGGCTTTTTAAAACTTATTGATTCTTTTAATCTGGTGCAATGTGTGACCGGTCGCACACATGAACGTGGACACTGTTAAATATCAGCACTTCACGGAGTTCTTTTGATTCCTCAGAGGCATCCGATGGAGGACAAAACACTGCTCAGTAGACCATTCAACACTTTTTTTCTCTTTCACAAAACTTCTAGAAGGGAGATGCATCCTGCATGACACGTTGCCGCGCATCTCAAAATGGTGGCGTGCCCCTAACAGTTTTATTACAGAAGCTCTCATTCTAGTCTAAACAACAGTGTCTCAGTAACTTTCCACTACAGATGGTCCCCTCTTATCTACTTTTTCCCAGGCAAGCGTGAGCGAGAGTCTACAGCTTTCTACTCCCCAAGGACACATGATCTAATGCCTTTATTTTTCAGAGCTGTGTCCACTTAATACTACACTATATAACTTCATTAATAAAAAGCATAGCATTATTGAAGCACTGCAAATTCCTACAACACACACTTGATCTTGTTTTATCTCATGACTTTTCTGTTTTTAACGTAAAGATTTGTGATGCTGTGTTTTCTGACCATAGTCCTGTGATGTTTGATGTGAAGTTTCTCTTGCCTGTGCCTCAGTTAAACCTTGCACTGTTGCTCGGCGGTGTCGCGTTTTTAACTCCTCCACTGCTGAGCAGTTTTCAACAGTTTTTAACCAGAACTGTAAAATCCTGGAGCTTTTATGCAGCCAGACTGAGGAGCTCATGGTTTTATTCCACCTGCCGGAATGCTATGGACACTGTGGCTCCATTAAAAACCAGGCAGCCTAAAGTTAAATCTGAGCCCTGGCTGAACGACATGACCACTACAAGTGTCATTCCAGATGCTAAAGCACTGTTGGCGTCAATATCAAAAAACTGTAAAAGATGCCAAAAAACACCCACTTATCTGGCATTATTCTGTCAAACTCTCACAACCCACGTGTTTTATTTAAAACCATTATCTCTGTTCTTAGTGCGCCACATACTATCAGCCCTCGTCTGCAGCCTGTGAATTTTTTTTACGCTTTTTTATTGAGATCTCCTCCACCGGGGCTCAAATCTCTCCTTTTGCTCATGACCCCTCAGTCTCTGCTTCCTGCACTTCTGTCTTTGACAGGTTTGAGCCGGTGACTCTGTCTGCTTTAAAGGAGACTGTTGGTCGTTTTAAGCCTGCAGGGTCTCCAAATGATGCTGTCCCTCCTCGACTCTTAAAGAGATTTACCAACAGTTGGACCTTTGGTTCTTGACCTGGTAAACCACAGTTTGAAATCAGGTGTAGTCCCAAAAGATTTTAAACATGCCGTAGTCATACCCTGATTAAAAAAACCTACTTTTGATCCTACAATTCTTGAAAATTACAGGCCTATGTCCAAACTACCTTTTCTTTCCAAAATTCTTGAAAAGATAGCTCACAGCCAATTAATGACATTCCTGGAAAAAAAAATGTTTTAGAGGTTTTTTAAGTGGTTTTAAACCCTTACATAGCACTGAATCAGCCCTTTGAAAAGTTTTTAATGACATATTTTTAGCTACTGACGCTGGGTTGTTCTTGCTTTTAGATTTGACAGCTGTGTTTGATACAGTGGATCATGCCATTTTACTCTTTCATTTGGAGCAGTGGGTGAACATTAGGAGCACAGCACTGAAGTGGTTCAGGTGTTACTTGGCGGGGCAAACTTTTTGTGTCAGTCTCTGCGACCATGTGTCGTCCTCCGCTCCTCTCTTGTGTGGTGTCCCACAGGGCTCAGGTCTACCCCCCCCCACACACACACTTTGTATCTGCTCCACTTTTATGCTGACAACTGTCAGATCTATGTCCCTCTAAAGAAAAAAGGCACATATTCCATACAGCCATTCTTCAGGTTCTTGATGACATTCAGGCTTGGATGTCTCTTAACTTTTTAAAATTCAATGACAAAAAGGCTGCGGTGACGGTATTTGGTAGCTCCACTGAGACCTGAGAGTCAAATAGGATAGAATAAACCTTTATTATCCCACGGATGAGAAACTTCGGCGTTACAGAGCTCTTACAGCAAGGGAAAATAAAATATAAAAGGAAGACACAAGGTGTTCCAATAACTGGCACTCGAAAGTTTGAGCACATTTCCCCTATTTTAGCTTCACTTCACTGGCTGCCCATTTCTTTTAGGAATAATTTTAAAATTCTTTTATTTGCTTTTAAAGCCCTCCATGGCCTAGCCCCATCTTATCTTTCTCAGCTTATACACCCACCCGTTCTCTCAGGTCAGCTGATCCACAGTTCCTGAATGTACCCTGAACTGAATGTAAACTTAGAGGAGATCGCGCTTTTGCTGTAATAGCTCCCAAACTGTGGAACGATCTCTCTTTAGAGATTAGACAGGCCTCTTCTTTGCCTGTTTTTAAATCACTTCTGAAAATCCATCTCTTCACCCTGGACTTTGACACCTTGTGAGATGTTGGTTTTAGTTTATTTTTATTTTAGTTGTGTTAGTTGATTCTATGCTGTTTTAATTGAATTTTTTTTTTGTATTATGTGTTTTATTTTTTGCTGTTTTATTTTATTCTATTGTTCTTAACCTATTTACTGTACAGCACTTTGGTCCTGTACTGGGTATTTTAAAGTGCTTTATAAATAAAGTTGGATTGGATTGCAATGGATTAACAAATAATGTGAAGTTAATGTGTAGGACACAACAGGAATGTTAACAGTGGAAACTGAAACTGATCTTCTCACTGTTGATAGTTTTATGTTAAAGCAGGAAACCTAAATGGCTAATTAAAACAGGGCTAGATCCCATTTAGATGAGCCACTTTCAGTGTTTGGTATGCTGGTTCACAGGAGAGATGGGGCACTTCTTGGAACAAAGCCATCATTCACGTCACCTTTCCTGCTACAATAAGTCAAAATAGCTGAGAAAAAGTGTGTCAGTTTTATATAATTATATAAGTACTAGCTTGCATTGGTTATTTTCTGTTAATAGTTGTTTTTATTTGTCAATCAGGAGCTGATTCAAAATGCAGATGATGCTCGAGCTACAGAAGTGGTATTTATCCATGATGAGAGAAGCTATGGGACTGAGAGCATTTGGACTGAAGAACTGGGAAAATATCAAGGTATTCATTGAATGACAATAAGAGTTTTTTTCAGAAAACATAAATTTCCAAAACATTTTTTATCTAAAAGAAATAATACAGAAAAAATAGAACCTAATAAACAGCCTCACATCAAAAAAGAGCTCTAGTTGTTAAGATGTTTTTGTTTGTTTTTAATTTAAACACTAAACACTGACAAAAGTGAAGTAAGCTAAAAGAGTTCAGCAAGCAACACATCATGCCAAAACCTAAAAAAAAAAAAAACCTCAAGAATATAAGAAACAAAATCAGTTATCTGTCGGACTGGAAATGGTTACAAAGCCATTTTTCAAGGCTTTGGGACTCCAGCAAACCATCCACAATTTTAAGAAAACTTGGAACAATGGTGACCCTTCCCAGTAATTGTTGGCCTACCAAATTTACTCCAAAAGTGCATCAACAACTCATCCAGGAGGTCACAAAAGACCTCAAAACAACATCTAAAGAACTGCAGGCTTCACTTGTTTCAGTTTTCATTAGTGTTTATGATTCAAAAATTAGAAAGAGACTGGGCAAAAATGTCTTTAATGGGGGAGAGTTCTAAGGAGAAAACCACTACTGACCAAAAAGAACACAAAGGCTCATCTCACATTTGCCAAAAAAAAAAAAATGTTAATAATTCCTAAGATTTTTGGGAAAATATTCTCTTGACTGACAAGACAAAAGCTGAACTGATTGGAAGCTGTGTGTCCCATTACATTTGGCATAAAACTAATACAATTTTTCATAAAATTGGACAACGATGCTACCAAGCTGTGGCAAGAGCTGGGCGCTGTCACGGACCACTGTCTCCACCTCACTACAGCAGCAGTACAAGTGGCGGGCAGAGCTTTCAGCATCCTCATCCTGCAGGAGAGGGCAAGATGGCTGAACTTGTCGGGGCTTTCGAACAGAGAAAGGAAAGAGTGTCCTGCAGCCAGCTCAGGCCATCTCTTTCATAGGAACAGCTCTAAGCTCCATTTTTTTTACTCTGTGGACAGAGTAAAAAAAATGCTATCACATGCCTGCATTTTTCAGGTGGGAAGATATCTCCCATTCAGAAGATGCCTGCAGATGCTGAGATTAATGGCATCTTCACTGGCAATCATCCCACTAGGCAGACTGCATATGAGGGAGTTTAAGCGATGGGTTGCATTACTAAGACTCAGTCGAAACCGCCACCACCCCCATATCAAAGTGACAGCATTGACAGCAGACTGCACTGCGGCACTCCACTGTTGGAGAAACCCCACATTTCTCACTCAGGGGGTGTCACCAAGGGCTGTCACAGCCAGGAAGGTGGTGACCACGGACGCGAGTCTCACAGGCGGGGGTGTCACTCACAAGGGCAGAGCAGTGAGCAGCAACTGGGACTCATGACAGGGGTGCTCACATCAACTGGCTAGAATTGCTAGCAGCATTTCTAGCACTGAGTCACTTTGTTCCCCTGTTAAGAAACCACCACGTTCTGATCAGCACAGACAACACCACTGTTGTGGCGTACATCAACAGACAGGTCCTTTTCACATGCTGGCTCGCAAACTGTTCATGTGGAGCAGCATCAATCTGTTGTCACTGAGAGCTACTCACATTCCAGGAGCTCTGAACTTGGAAGCAGATTTAATGTCCAGGGGGAACCTGCAGTACGGGGACTGGACCCTGCACCCAGGGGTGGTGACCCAAATCTGGACCAGCTTTGGCCAGCCACAGGTCGACCTGTTTGCCTTGAGGAAGAACGCTCAGTGTCCTCCATATTTCTCCCTGAGGGACTAGGAGGCTCCGCTAGGGCTAAATGCATTAGCTCGCGAATGGCCACATGCTCTGCTTTATGCGTTCCCTCCACTGGCTTTAATTTCTCCCACTCTAACCAGAGTGAGAGAGAGAAGGCTAACAATGATATTGATTGCCCCAAGGTGGATGAGGTCCCATTGGTTAGCGGAGATTATGCCCCTTTTGTGGAGCGAACTTTGGCCTCTCCCTATCAGACGAGACCTAGTCTCCCAAGCCAGGGAGGAGATTTTTCACTCTCACCCCCAGTGCCTCGCCCTGTGGGCTTGGCCTGTGAGAGGTTAAATTTTAGACCTCCCCAGGGTGTTATAACCACTATTCAGAGTGCTAGAGCCTCCTCCACAAGATCATTGTATGAGAACAAGTGGAGGGTATTTGAGGAGTGGTGTGGAAAGTCTCATGATCTCTCCTTTCAATGCTCTGTGACAACAATTCTCTCCTTTCTCTAGGAACTGTTAGATAAAGGAAAGGTCTTTTCCACAATTAAAGTATATCTAACAAACATTTCAGCCTGTCATGTGGGCTTCGTGGATGGCCCAGTGAGCCATCACCCGTAGGTCCACCATTTTATGAAAGGGGCATGACGACTCTATCCGGTGTCTAAACCTCTCGTCCCCACATGGTATTTATCCCTGGTGCTGGGGGCATTTTCACCATTTGAGGCACAAAGCCATGTGAAAATTCTGTCTTTGAAGACTACATTTCTCCTGGCTCTCGCATCTGTGAAGCGTGCCATTGATATTGATGCACTGTCAATACACAAACAGTGCATCTGACTCACGCAGGATAACTGTAGAGCACAGGTGTCGAAGTCCAGTCCTCAAGGGCAGGTGTCCTGCAGGGTTTAGATGGGTCCTTGATCCAACACAGCTGATTTAAAAGGCTAAATTACCTCCTCACCATGTCTTGAAGTTCTCCAGAGGCCTGGTAATGAACTAATCATGATCTGTCCTCACTAAGTGTTTTCCTCATGAACATAGACTCAGCTATACAGACAGCTAAACACTCTCCTAATTAAAATCCAAGGAACAGGCCGATGTGTTAAGTGGGATGATTTAATAAGGAAAAAGTGTGAAACTGTTGACAAAACCAGAAATAAACCAATAAAAATATTGCATCAATATACAATATAACACACACACCACAGTAAGTCACATATTCAAAAATATGAGCACAATATTTATCTGCTTAGTGAGTGCCTGAATGAAACATCAAATGAAATCACGCTCATGATCAAAATGTTAAAGAAACCACATGGCATATGTGCTAGCTTAACCTTACTAGCTTAGGTTATACACGCATTCAAATTAAATTCAAACTACAAACTATATTACGCTTTCACAACAAATAATAATGCACACAAGTCGTCTCAGTGATAACAAACAATTTTACTTACAGATTATGCCATTTATCAACTTGTGAAGGCATGGATGGCAACACAAAAAAAACACTAGAGGGCAAACTGCAGAACAGAAAATACCTAATGCCAGCATAAATCATTTGATTCAGATGTGTTAACCCAGGGTGCAGTGGCGGTCCTAGCCTGTTTGGCGCCCTGGGCGAACACTCCCTCTGCCCCCCCCGCTCAACCAAAACTGGTGCTACTACTTCCTGTCCTTGTTTCAGCGCCACAATGGAACCCTAAACATCTGGACTCACCTGGTGGCATTTTTAGTGTTGCTGATTAAATTGTGCCAGCTTACTGAGACTGTGGACTTTATCAGTGACCATCATTCGTGGCCCCTGCGCATCTTCATCCTGTCCTCTTCCTCTCCTCTTTACCTACCTACTCTGCATTCAGTGTTGTAGCTCACGTACTGGGAGGAAAGTCTGACCTTGCTCATTATTGCTTCTACTTTCTGGACTATGTAGGGGTAGCGCAGTATCAGTACGGCAGCGCTGTAGTCCACTTTTACAATGCTGTTGATGAAAGCGTCCATGGACTGGTGAGTGGTATCTTCATGCCCACTGCCACAATCCTCAGCTGCCTTTCATGTTTGGGATGCTGCTACGGCAAATACTGCAACCACAGCCTACCAACGTGGGTGCGTTAAGGATATAACATATTAAGGATTGTCCATTAACATAAAACTGTTGTCGGAACCATACTGAATTTCACCAGAGAAACATACACACAGACACACACATATATCATACAATGAGAATAGGACAAATCAACAATTGACAATGACTAATTAATATTGTGCTGAACACAGTCCAAAAGATTCAGTAAGCTACATCAGTGTCTACTGTTTACTATCATAGCCAAGTGACACTTCACTATCCCTACTAATTGATGTTATCTTGTTGTATCTCTGTTGTGGTCAGTGCTATCCTCTATGCCTTTACATGCTGGGGCAGCAGGCTGAGGGTCACAGATGCCAACAGACTATATGAACTGATCCACAAGGCCAGTTATGTTGTGGGGATGGAGCTGGACTCCGTTAGGATGGTGTATGAGAGGCAGATGTTGTCCAAGATAAAGACAATGTTAGATAATACCTCCCACCCACTCCATGACATGACATGCTGGCTAGTCACAGGAGCACGTTCAGTGAGAGACTGGGATTACCAAAAAGCACCACTGACCGACACAGGAAATCATTCCTGCCCGTGACCATCTCCCTGTACAACTCCTCCATCTAAAACACTGTGAACACTGCAATAGTTACATCCTTTCTACACATGCTCTTTTCTACTCTGGAATATTCTTGTCAATTTTCTTGATATTTATTTATAATCCCCTCTGTTAATCCTTGATATTTATAATTGAGTGACCTGTATATATTAGTGCTATTTCTTAAATGTGTAAAATCTGTAACATAATGTATTGTTTGGAGTTTAGTCTGTTACTGTTACTTTTTTTTTTTTACTATTTCTTCTTGGAGCAACTGTAACCCACATAATTTCCTTAGGGATTAATAAAGTATTCTGATTCTGATTCTGATTGTTTCAGAATAAACGACCTGCCTTTATCCAGTGACACATCTGCTTACCTGTATCTTTTGCTCGTTTCTCCTCCTCTTCTTTTCTCTTTTTTCTAAACTGAGGACCTGATGGCTTTGAACTTTTACTTGTCCATCTTCCATTGGTTTTAATTTTGCACTCCAGTATGAACACCCATCCCCCAACCCGAGGATCACCACAACATAACCTAATAGACCTACACCTTAGTTCACAGATTCACTTTGTCTAAGGTGTATTTCTGGGATTTC